CCCATTTCAGTACCAATCCATCGAGCAGGATTTGGTGATACACCATAGCCATTAAATGCAATTGCTTGAGGTTGAAGTTCAGCTAATAAAGCTGTTATTGGTGTTTTCAAATCCATTGTATATCTATCAAAATAACTATTTAACTCAATAGTTTTTTCTCTATAAAACTAACCCTCCATCAAACCAAATTTCTTCTAAAGTACCATATTTAGTCCAAAGTTCTCTCAGTTGTTGTAACACAATATTATTGTAAGTTTCTTGAGTAACATTCAGTTGACCTGGTTGTAAAGTATTATTTTGAACCTTAAAATGTATTTCATATGTGAAAAAATTTCGAAAAACATTATATAACATACAAAACCATCTTGTACATTAAGGTAATTATTCACTACAACTGTATAATAAAATCCAGTTCGTATGTGTTTTTTTTCACAGCTGTTAGTAAATTCTCCAAGTACATCTCTACCTTTCATTGGTGAATAATCAATTGCGTAATTATATGGAACTATTTTCCCAGATGGATTCAAAGGAAATGTGACAGCGGTTGGAGCCATAAGAAAACCTGATCCATGCTAGAATATTAAGATCAATTAATTAACAATACTTTAATTTGTTTACAATTTTAATATTTCTTACTTTAGCAACAAGTACAGCATATTGAGCACCGAAATCAATTATAGTTCGAACCCAATTATCAATATTTAATAAATATGGATTGAATAAAGATGGACTTGGAATATCTTCATATTCAAATCCATCAGCAAAGAATGTTTCTAAATTGAAATGAATAAGCACACCTAATTCTTGTGCTTGCCATTCAAGTTGTTCTGATGCTATAAATAAATACATTGAAATCTTCTCAAAATATATAGTACATATATTCGTATAGAATTACTAGGTAGAGCAATATGTACACCCGTTTTTGGTGATATACGATATTTTCCAGATGATAACAACAAAGAATGTTTTCGGTTATATCGAAATAAATGAGTATCAATTTCTAATATAAACACTAATAGTAGTAAAACAATTATAATTCCTTTCATTGTTTAAATAAAATATCTAAAAATTAATTCCGATATAAACAGTTTTATTTTTGTCGCATTTATCGATCGATAATAACATTTCTAGGATATAGAATGGTCTACACATATTTTTGCATTTAGTTCAAAATACAAATAAATTATTTTTAAGATGATCTTGACTATTTGAATTTATTTATAATTAGATATTCGTTTTTAACAAATTGACAAACGTTTATTTTAATAATAATCTCTGAGAAACAACAGCACATCAAATAAATATTTCTGAGAATAAAAGATAAAATCCTAAATCAAATAGAAAAAGTGAGATTAAAAAGTTCTACAACTAAGAAATAATAAAGTAAAAAAAAAAAGTATAAAGTTATTGCTATCAAAAGAAAGCGCATAAGAACAATTGTTTGTAAGATAAACAAAATATGAGATTGATTTTTTATGAATTTTTGTTTGAAAGTTGAACTTTTGCTGAATGTAATTCTCGTTTAACTGAATCAATCATTGTTTGAAACCTAAAATAAATATATATTTCATAAATAATTAACATAAAAAGCAAAATAAGCAAAGCAATAACTTTATATCATTCAGATAATAGACTACAAAACAAATTCTTTATATTTATACTAAATGTGCAATATTTTAGTGAATATAGATCAATAATCTAAGTAGATGTTTACTTTTGAAAATGCCTAGAAAAATATTATATTATTTTTTTTTTAATAATTTATTGATTATTTTTATTGAATTATTAGAAGTTCCGGTAACTCGAATTATTAGAAAAAAAATCTTACTGTCGATATCGATCATTAATACGATCTTTTTCATCCTAAATAAATTCATATGAAATTAATATAATAAATTTTTTGTAAAATATTACTTCAGTTAATGCTCGTCTTTTCTCATATTCCATTTGCATTTCAACTGTTTGTAATTGTTTTGCACGTTCTAATTCTTTTATTGAATGCCCTTCAACTCTTGCAAGTTGACTCTATTTTAATGCAATGCATATATATAAATTTAATTAAATTAGAAAAAAAAATATTCAATACGTGTACTTGTAATAATCTCATTTTATCCGATGTATCTCTTTCAAAATCTTTATAATCTAAAAAATATTTTGTAATATGAAAATTTAGAAAAAAATTCAATATTTTACTATGTTTTTCACGTGCTAAATCATCAATAATAACTTCTCGTTTGGCTAATTCAGCTGCAAAATATTTTCTATCAGATTCACTATCAAGTAATGCATTATTAAGATCATGACGAAGTTTATTTTCATGTTGTTGACGAATTTCTAATTCTTGTTTAAGCCAAGCAAGACGAGCCTTTTTTGTTTTAAATAAAAAAAAATTTATTTTAAAAAAAGAAGATTTTCTTCTAAGATTTTTACTTTAACTTTACTTAACCATGTTTCAAAATCATCACGAGAACTTGTTGGTGAATCAATAATAAATGGTTCTTCGGAATCATTTGATAAACATTCAGTACAATATGTAATATCATTATAAACTGTATGAAGTGAATGCTAAATGAACAAGAATTTCTAATAAGAACAACAAAAAGAATCAAAATTTTACTTGATAATCTTTTTCTTTTCTTATATTTTGATTTTTTTCATTTGCTGCTTCAACTGTTAATTTAAGAACTCTAATAAAAAAAAGAAATTAGAATATATTTCGATGCAAAAAAACAATACCTTGATTCTAATTCTTCAATTAATCGAGTCTATGAATAAATATTGAATAATTAGAAATAAAAATATATTTTTTAATATAAATAAAACCTTTTCTCTTAATTCTCGTGTTAAATTATCAATTGTATATTGTGCTTGTGTTGATTCATCTTCATATTTCATTGCTTTTTCTTGAATTTTTTCAATATCTTTTTTATTCTCATTTTCATGTCTTTGTAAAATTGCAATTCGTGCTTTTTCATCCGATAATTGTAACTAAAATTTATTTTTAGAAAAAAAAATAAAACTAATTCTTTAAATTTACTTTAAGTGTTTCAATTTTATTTTCATAATCAACTTGATATGTTTTCATTCCACGTGTATATTCCATTTTTGATGTATCTAATTTTCTCTAGAATTTTTTTGATTCGAAATTATTTATTTTCAATCAATAAAACTTACTTTCATTTCATCATAATCACTTTCAAGTGAAGCAAGTTTTGTTTGAAATTTTGTTTTTTCCTAAGACAAAGAAAAGAATACTTTCGAAAATATAACTAATTTTAATCTACATCATTAAATGTTTTCGAAATTGAATGATATTGAATAGATAATGAATCTCGTTCGAATTCGATTTCTTTAATTTTTTGTAAGAAATCCTAAATAAATAATTATTAATTAAATTTTTAGAATAAATCGATATTTTTACCATGCGTTCATTTTCAAGTTCAATAGCATGTTGTTGAAGTTGTGAACGAGATGAATTAAATATTTCAATATCTTGCTATAGAAAAAAAATAAGTGAATAAATAAAAATTTCTTGTCTTACGTCAGATTGTTTTAATTTTGATTCAAGATTATTTCGATGATTTATTTCATCGTGTAATAATTGTTGAAGATTTTGTTTTTCTTTCTCATATTGAGAATAACGTTGTCGATAAGTAGAAAGTTGATTTTCAAGCTTTAAAAGGAAATTTTTTTGTTTCTTATAATAATAATTTCAAAAGATAATATTTACTTCATGAACTGTGCTTTTAAGTGTTGTAAGTTCTGCTTCCTGTGAAGAACGTAATGTACGAAATTGATTAGACTAATATAGAAAAGAATATGAATTATTCTATTATTTCTATAACACTTACATCATTTTCATTTCGTTTAAAATGTTCTTCTAATCGGCTATGTTTCGTCTAAATAATGAACAGAAAATATTTTTTATTTTACAAAGCTCGTAGTACAGTTCTTCAAATGGTATTAAAACAAGAGAATATATTCTATCCCGTTTTCTTAATATTTGTACAGAGATAGTCTCAAAATGAATTGACTAAACTTATTTCCGTTCTAATATAAAAGTAAAATATAAACCTGTGCATCATTTAAATCCGTTTCAAGTTTTTGAACTTGTTCACGTAAAGTTATATTTTGTGCTCGATAATTTTCCATATCTTTAACTAATTGTTCATTTCTTTCTAAGACTTGTGTTGAACCAAATTTATGTCGATCAACATCTTTTTCAAGTTTTTTAACTTTTGCTTTCCATCTAAATATAAAAATGAATTTATAAGAAAAAAGAACAAAATTTCTTTAACTGTTTTATTGTTTCTTGCGCTTGAATTTTGAATTCTTCTCGTTTTTGTTCGGAATCAGTTGATTGTCTTTGATAATTCATTGATTCTTGTGCATAACGTTCAGCTTCTTGTGTCATTTCTTCTAATTTTTCTAATGCTAATGATAAATCATTTTGTAATTTTGTATTTTGTCGTTCATATGTATCACAATTATCTGTTATTTCTTTTAATTCAAGCAATGTTTTTGCAGCAAGTTTTTCTTTTTCATCACATTTTTGAACTAAGATCTAAAAGATAAACAAACGAAATATATTTTAAAAAAAATATTTCAAAAAATTTCACCTCTAAATGATCAGAAAGTTGTTCACGTTGACGTTCACTTTTTTCAAGTTCTTTTTTAAATGTAACTAATTCATTTAATGTTACAGATTTTGAAAACATTAATTGTTGTTGCATTAAATAATCATGATCGAGTTGATGACGATCTGGTTCTATATATTAATTAAATAGATAGAACAATTTTTAGCAAAGGATTTATAAATCAAACAAAATTCGCCATTATTCTGATCTTTATGTATGTATCTGTCAATGGTATCAAATAAAAATATATAGGTAAATAGTTTCTCTTATCAATACTTTATTCTACTGACACTTGAATAGGATTTGTTCAGATTTAAATTGAAGATAAACGAAGAAAGTAATAAAGAATGAGAAGAAATCAATAGTTAAATGAATTAGTTAGGAAGAATTGTAGTAGTAACGATTGTGTAGATAAATCAAAGGAGTAGAATTGATAATAGACATATTCGAATAAGAAGAAGAAGAGTGTTTAACAAACTATATTTTATGCTAGACATAGCCAAATGTATCATTCTTTACTACAAAATAATATGTGTGTACATTCTTTTCCTTTTATCAAAAGTAATTATTCAAATTCTCAATCGAATTATATAGAAAATAATAATATTCAAACCTGTTCTTCGTCGTCGATCAGTTGATAATAATAAATTATCGTCTCTTGTATATTTATTACGTTCAAATTCATTATTCATTAATTGATCCTTGAGTTGTGTTACCTATATAATATAATAAAATTAAGTTATATCATCGTTTTAATATAATCTAACTACTATAAAAAAAAAATAATTCTATATAACAACGATAACTATCCTATTTCAAAGAAAAAAACAGTTAAACATACACTTTCTCTGATGGATTTAGCACACTCAATTAGAGTTTCTGAATTCTAGAATTTTGTTTATTATCGAAACGAATTGAAAGAAAAAATTTCGTTATATTATACCTGTTGTACTAATAAATTTTTATTGATTTCACTTTCTTCTAATTGTCGTTTAGTATTAAGTAATTGAGATTCATACTAAATAAATTAATTGAAATCAAATTTTTGGTAAAGAAATAAATATAATACCATCTGTTTATTTGATTCAGCAAGTAAAAGTCTAGCTTGAACAATTTTATCTTCATCATTTTGAATTGGTGTTGTTAATTTTCGTTGTAATTGAATTTCGTTAATAAGTGCACGAACATCTCCTTGTGGATTTTTATCTCGTTTCATTTCACGTTCGATTTCTTGTAAACGTCGATCAAGACGTGATTGAACAATCTAATAAATTATATTTTATTTTATCATAGGGCAACGATCTTAGGATTATTATTACAAACAGAAAGAATTAGCATGAGAATATTAACATTTCGATATTCTTAATAGAATTATTTGAGAAATATTGATGTTATAAATATGCATGACTACTACTATATGCGTGACTATAAAGCTCTTTCTTATATGTGAATATTTATGGAAAGTTTAGATATCATTAACTATGATGTAATTGTAAGAAGAAAATGAGAATATAAATTCTTACCTCTTCAACCAATGGATCATTTTTGGATAGAAATGAATCATTTACTTCATCATCATCACTATCAGCTCTATAAATATAAATATATATAGAAATAATAAATATAGAAATTTTCTTTTACAAATGTAATGATTCTTTTTGATGTTTTGAAGGTGTTGTTCTACTAATTTCATGTTTAAGTCTTCCATGTTCAGTTGATAATGATTGTAAATCATTACTAAGATTTTGTAATGAACGTCCAGTGACATCATCATTGAAACGAACACCTTTATTACTATTACTTCGTTGATTATTCGATGATGAACTACGTCGTGAATTCGTTGTTATTTGTTCTTGATCATAATCTATTAATTTTTATTTTGTTTCAAATGGAAAGATAAAAAATATTAAAAAAAAACTATTTTATTTACGAGAATCATTTGTTGTAAGAAATCCATCATTAGCAGTACCATTATTTCGAAACTAAATATTGAAAATAGAAAACATAAAATAAAAGAATGTATGATTATTCACTGTATCTAATAAAGATGTAGATGTTGGTTGTTGAATATGTTTTAATAATTCGAAATTTTGTTGTGCATGTCGTAAATTATTTTCTGTATTCTAAATTAATAAGCAATAGTATCAATACATCGAACGTGTTATATCCCAGATATTGATATTTACAATTAATGCTGTATTCAAATTACGAATCTTTTCAGTCGATTCCAAGTTTACATTTGGTAATTGTCGTTTCGATGATGAACTCATTTCTTCTTCTACTTACCAATGTCTAGATCTACACCTTGATCAATCACTCATGAATTCATTACATATTCTAGTTACTTAGTAATATTCTTCATAAAATATTTGAAAATATCTTTTAAATATATAAATTTTAAATAAAAATCTAAAAATCTATTTGAACTATTAAAAAAATATCTATATAATAAAAATCGAACATTGAAAATAAATTAATTTTCAAGTTAAAAAAATATAGATGTCACTGTGTTCAATCTAATTGGCTTTTAAATAATCGAAAAAGAAAATAGATATTATAAATAAGCAAGCAAACATAGAGAACAGGAATGAGTGCATAAAATACTAATAATATATATATATTGAGAACAAACGTGTTTTGTACATATGACTTATTATTCCATCGGATTTGACCCAGACAGGGTAAAAAAATGTTCCTATTTAACAATCACTTGAGAATACTTTTTATCAGAAAAAAATACTTATAGAAAAAACGTTATCTTACAGTTATTAAATTTAACGAATAAATTTAAAAAAAAATAATTCATACATGATTCACGTGACAAGGTAGTATTACACATAAATTGGAAAATTCCGTATTTATTACACAATATATAAAAATGTATTTTTATACTTTAGATTTAAATTTCTAACTTATTAAATTAACTCATCATTGACATAATGAATGATCCATCCACTAAAAGTCCACGAAAAATAAATCCTAACCCATTACATACTTTAGTTGCATCTCATGTTGAAAGTAATACCAGAAATTATCGTACAAATTTTCGAAAAGAGGTTCCAAAAAAACTTAATACAACCAATCCTAAACCATTATTGGAATGTATACAACCAGAACCATTATTAACATCAAAACCGTACGAAAAACCCATACATCAACGACGAAGAAAAAATAAACCATTCGATTCAGAAAATCTTGGTAAAAACATTTTAATAAAAACTAAACAAAAACAAATAGAATCTATTTTCTTTTTCATTAGCTCGTAGTAATGATGATCAAGTCAATAAACCCGAGATTTCACCACCAAAAGTAAGATATGATTTATTGTAATTGCGTAATACTCTTAATCCTTCAGACGGAAATTGGTCGCTCAACAATTGATATTATCGAACCAACAACAGAACATTTATTAGCATTAAAAAATGCATTTAATAAAATTCTATCAGAACGTTGTTTATCTGATAATAGTCTTAAACAACGACAAATTGTCTTTACAAAATTACGTCAATTTATTCTGAATGCTAATAAAGGTAAATTCCAATGTCGATTATTAATATGAATACAATAATAGATTAAAATTAAAACTATCCTATTTTTAAACTAATTAATTTCCTTTTTTTAAAGACATTCTATTGATATCTCTTTTCACTATCAATTCAGTTTGCAATATAAGATAAAAAAAAATGTCATTTATGAAATATATAATTTGTTCTGTTCTGCCTTTTTTCTTTCAACTACCGGGACGAAGTGATAAGACGGCAATACAGAACGAGCAAACCTATATATTACGATTGAAAAAAGAAAAAGATGTGTAGAAATAATTAGATAACATCTGGTCTATAACCATATTTTTCTTTATATTAAAGTAAACTAACTTACCAAAAATCTATCAATGAATCTAGTACAAAAAAAATTATTTTTAATAATAAATAAATTCATTTTCAAGGATCAAAATATTTTACTAATAATCATCTTTTAAATATCTTATTTGTATTTAAAATTAGATTGTCAAGTCAACTTATATGGTTCAATATATTTTGAATGTTGCCTGGAAAAACCAGGTGTTATGGATATTGATATCCAATTTAAAGAAACACCTTCACATGACGCTCTTAAAGAACTACTCGATATAATTAAAAAAAGTGGTATGTAAATATTTTTAAACGTAACAAAAAAACAACGCTTTTTCTTTTAAATTAGATTTATGTAAAGAAGCTCAAATTGATACTGAACATAAACCATCATTTATTAATTTAATAGTAAATGAACCGAATATGCGTGTTAAAATAAGTTCAGGTTATACTCGGGGTATATATTTATCAAAATTACTTCGAATTTATACAAAATTTGATCCACGTGTTATTAAATTACTTCGATTATTTCGAATATTATCTAAAGTTTGTTATAGAAAAATAAACATCTTTATATACATACCTAAATTTTCTAGACGTGCAATACAGATAAACCAGAATTAGGAACACTTCATCCTGTTGTTTTTCATTTGATGGTTATTCATTTTTTACAACAACTCGATCAACCTGTTTTACCATGTTTACATGAATATGTATGATTATTAGATTTAAATTTTAAATAGAAAATGAAATATACATTTTTCTAGGCTTATGGAATTGATAATGTTCCAATAACATTAAATGAAAATCAATATCCCGAATTTTTTCATGTCTGTCAAAAATATATCTCAGAATGGAAATCAAAAAATACAACAAGTGTTGAAATACTCTTTTTACAATTACTTTCATATTATGTTAAAACATTTAATTTGAAACAATTTGTTGTTTCAATTCAAACACGAATGCCTGTTATGAAATCTGATAAAAATTGGCATAGTAGAAAATTACTTGTTGAAGGTAGATTGATTTTTTTCAAATAAAAAAAAATATTTTTTTAATTTTAATAGATCCAACCGATATAAAACGTAGTTTATGTCAAACAATGCAATCTATGCGTTCAATTGATTATTTTCGTGATACATTAATTGCTACATTAAATTATTTCGGTAGAAAACAAAAAAAAACTAAGAAAATTACAACAAATAAATGTTCAATAGAAAATAATGATGATGATTTAATTGAAGTCATTGTTGATGATGACATTCCAACACATGAACCATCAAAATCTATACATAATTCTTATAAATTATTTTATAAACGTTTACCACCAACGGTTGCACGTGATTCTAATATAAGACAACCTCGTGTACGACAATATTATAAACAATCATTTCATGATAAACATAATCCATTACCAAAAGGAATAATTCAATTAAATTCTTCAAAAGATAAATTTGATACTTCAGATGTCAATGATATTCAAGAAGCATTGCAACATGATTTAGAAAATAATTTTGAAATTATGGATGAAAATGATGATGATCAAAATGATAATCATTTTCATTTATTAGAAGGAGTTACATCACATACTGATGAAGAAGATGAACAAGAATTAAATGAGAATTTTCAAGATATTGATATTGAACAAAAAGATATAGCAACGTTAGTTTAATAAACAAATTATTTACACGCGATATTTCGTCTATAAATAGAAAAAGAATTATAATGAAGACGTATATCTTGATATTTTCTATTAATAGACGAAATGTTGGTGAAAATACAAATGAATAGATAGAATAATTCATTTATCAACATTAACTTTCCTTTTAGTCGAGAATTATTTCCAATAAGTAACGAAGAAGAACCAACAATTGAAAATGAATCTTCAATAATAAAAAATGATATTGAACAAGGTACGAAATAATATACATAATAACAAATAATCTTATTATAAAATACTAAGAGAATATTAGTAATAAAACAAATTATTTTCTATATAGAAACTATATCTAATGATGAAAAAAAAGATCTACAAACACTACCATCAACAGATGAACCATCAGTAAATGAAACGAAATCAGAAGTAAATACAATCGAAATCTCGTCTACAGTACCAATAGATATTAAAACAAATGGTACAACATCCAATGATAATAGTAATCTTCCATCACCATTCGATGGACTATTTAAAATTGAGCCAATTGTCGATAGTGAAGAATCTACAAATGAAAAAGATCCTTCAACAGAAAATTCGATTGAATATTTTTATGATTTTCAACCTGAAAATTTTCATGCTGAACAGGTTAGATAAAATTATCTTATTCAATCTAAATTCTTTTCTTTCTTTTTTTCTAAAGGGTGCTCCATATGTATGTACAACATGTAATGGTGTTGGACATTTGAAAAATGAATGTCCTGAATTAGTTCTTCCAAATGTGATTGATCTACCTGAAATGAATGAAAAATGGATTGAAATTCTTTCATTACTTAATAAAAAAATAACTAGTATGATTTACATTAATAATATAATAGTAATTTATAATTTAATATAAAAATTAATTTAGATCAATCAAAACCATCAAATAGTGATATAGAAAATCGTCAGGAAATTTTAAATCAATTAGAAAAACAATTTAAAAAAGATTATCCTGATTGTAATTTACATGCATTTGGTTCATTTTATAATGGATTTGGTTTTCATCAAAGTGATTTAGATGTTTGTATTGTATTTAAAGATGATCGAGAAAAAAATGTTTGTACTTTTTTATTAAATTAATTTCTTATTATTGTAATTTTGTTTTTCTCTTTCGTAATTAGAATGATGAAGTTATTCGAATAATGCAAAGAATTTTACGAGCAATGAAATCTTCAAATACATTTGAAAATGTTCAACCTGTACTTCATGCTAAAGTACCAATTATTCGATCAAGACATCGACAATTACATATTGAAATTGATATAAGTTTGCACAATATGCTTGTAAATATTAAATTGGTTATATTCTACTAATTTTATACTTATTTTATTTAGGCTATTGAAAACACACGATTATTAAAAACATATACAGATATCGATCCACGAGTATCGGAATTGGGTTATATGATTAAACATTTAGCAAAAGTAAGAAACAAAATATAATAGGAATTTTGATCGGATGGAAAATTATTTGGAGAATACATACGACTATATTTCAGAGATAGTTTTGAGCTTTTCCTAAAATTCACAAACAAAATAAATTTTTATTAAAAGAGAAGAGATTATGTTTTGATGTGTATAGATATTGTTTTTTCTTGTTAAGCAAAACTGACATAAATACTGAAGAGCTTGGCAAATAGTAAATCATCCAGGTATAAGCTATGTCAAATAAAAGACGTCAGATACAATAAAATCAGAGCATATAACATATGATTAGACTCGAATGTTCTTATAAATTTGACAGTGATTTATATTCAAAATTTTTTGAATTTTTCCATCATAAGAATAAATATTTCATATTCTTATTCTTCCTTGCATATTTTATATTTTTTACCTTGTAATGGCTTCATACATCTATATTTTTAATTTAGTTTTGTGGTATTGGCGATGCAAGTCGAGGTACATTATCTAGTTATGCATATATTATTATGCTTATTCATTTTTTACAACAAATTCAACCACCTGTTCTACCCGTTCTTCAACAGGTTTTATTTTGTTTTCTTTATATTATTTTCATTTTTTTAAAATTAATTATATTTAGTTAAGTGATGATACAACAAATAAATCATCAATGTATAAAAAATGTTCAAAATGGAATGTTTATTTTTATGAAGATCTATTGAAAATTGTTTGTAGAAGAAATTATTTTTTTTGCTTATAAATTCAAATTTTACTATTTTTCTAGAAAGAAATTATGAAAAATAATAATAAACTATCATCCGGTGCATTATGGATAGAATTTCTACGTTTTTATACTGAACAATTTAATTATGAAGAACATATAGTAACAATTCGGCAAATAGAACCATTATTAAAACATGAAAAAGGATGGTTTAGACAAACAATAGCTATTGAAGATCCATTTGAATTATCTCATAATTTAGCTGGTGGTTTATCTCCACGAAGTATTTCTAATAATTTCTTTTTATTAAATTAATGTTTTCTTTTCAAGATTGGACAATTATTCGTCGAGTTTTTATTCGTGCTCGACAACAATTTGGTATACAACTTGAAAATATCGATATTTCAAAACCAGATATGTCAGCTATTGAAGTAAATTAATTTGAAAACTAAGTTTTTTTCATAAATTCATATTTAATTCTAATAGAATACATTATTTAATATTGATGAATTATGTCCAACAAATGCACCTAAACGATGTGAATGGTGTAAAGGTCCTTATCATATAAGAAAACGTTGTCCAAAATTAGCAGCATTAGCAAATGAAAACGAAAAGAAAAGACGAACAGTTAATCATACAGAACAACAGTCAACAACATTTGTATCAAATAATTATCGAGATAATTCATATTATTATTCTAATAAACATCAAAATCAATATTCGAATAATAGTAATGGATATAATTATCCAAAATCTGCTTCAGTTAATCAACGTTCATTTCGATATGATCAAAAGGATTCTTCTAATTCAACATATTATTCAAATGAATATCGATCAAATAATTCTCATCGTTCATATCAACAAAATTCGAATAATAACAGGGCATGTTTTAATTGTGGAAATTTTGATCATATAAAAGTACATTGTCCATTGTTATCGAATAATAATTCTATTCAACGACAAAAGTCTCATAGTTAACTTATTCGAGATTTTGTTTTTTTGCCGTTATTTTTTGTATATAAAATTTGCGATATTTAATCTTGTCTCTCTCTCTCTCTTTCTCTCTCTTTGCCATAGTTTCATTTTTCTTCTTTTTCTTTCTGGGTTGTGTTTTTCTTCCCTTGATTATTATTATTATTCTCTTATCATCCTATGGAGTTAAGTATATGTTCTTGTATTCTGTTAACTTCTTTTTTTTTTCTTTTTCGAGAGACTATTTTAAAAATCGCTTATTTCATTTTTGAGAAGCGACAAAAAAACCTTTTTCATTCTTTAGATATGATGACAGATACAGCTGCACAACAATTAATAGATACTAATGGTCAACCATTAGTGACACAACAAGAACGACAAGCTATGGTTAATAAATTGTAAGTCAATCTATTTAATTGAATTATTCTTATATTAATTCATATATAGATCAACACATTGGACACAAGACTTATCAACAAGAGTTGAAAATATGGCATTTGAAAAATCTGGTGGTCGTAAAGTATATATTTTCATTCAAATAAAAACTTAATTTATTTTAATAATTTTTGTTTTAAGCCTCTTTATCTTAAAGCTGTTCAAAATTATTATCAGCACATTCAAAGTAAGTCATATAGATTTTTCTTCAAGAAATTCTGTTAGTTGTCAAGTACATAAAAAGAATCAACTTATCTATTCATTCAATGTTAGAAATGAATAAAACAACATGACCTTTTTTTTTGTATTAATAATAGAATAGATAAAAAGCATATGTAGTGTTAATTGAACGATTTACTTTAATGACATGAGCTAAAATTAGAAATTATATTTTAAAATAATCTATAAAAAAAAACAACTAGATTAAAATATTTGCATTGATTAAATAGCTGCATATCAAAATCGTTCTAATCAACAACAACAACAGCAACAACAAACATTACAATCATTAAATAATAATAATAATAATAGTGTACAATATTTAAATCAACAAGTTAATTCTTCTCAACAACAGCAACCATCAATAACTATGATTTCTCAACCACAATTAGCTCAAATGCTTAATCAACAAAATCGTTTTAATCCTGTACAACCATCTTTACCATCTCGTATGCCAAATCCACAAACAAGTATGATGAATACACAATCACCTATTCCGAATCAAGGTCCACGATTACGTGAACCACAAAAATTCAATCAATGTATGATTATCTTCTCTTTCTTAATTTTTCATTGGATTTTTTCTTCTAGCAACTCTTAATTCAACAACATATACAGCAACACCACATAATTCAACATCATCTCCATTGATACCAACAAATGATTTATCTTCAAATTATGCAACACCACAACAACAACAACAACAACAATCACAATTAACTAATATTAATTTAAGTGATTATCTATCTCAACAAAATCGATATGTAAATCCAAGAGCACGTACAGCAACGAATTTAAATGGTTTTTATTTTTTTAAATAATATTTATCTCTAATATGAAATCGATTTTTTTCTTAGGAAATTTTCCACAACAAACATCATCAAATAATTCCAATGATGTTCTACATCAGTTTATTGCTGGAAATTCATCAACAAATTCAGTAACATCATCATCAGCATCATCACCTATAAATACACCAATGACAAATACATCATCAACTGGCGATCGTTGTTAGTTTTAATAAGAAATATATAATTTTTATTTAGAAATCAAATTTCATTTTTATTTTAGTATTACAAAGAATTCTTACATCAAATCCTGATGGAACATCGAATACAATGTCATTAACAAATCGACAATCAACTTTACAACAACCCACATCATCGAATATGGTAAATGTTTTTTTCAACTTTTAACCTATTTTATTTTTATTACTTAAAAGATAATTGAATTATAATCTAATAAATAAAATTTAATTCTAAAAATAATCTTTCGTTATGAATTAAGTTTTCAATTCTTTCTCGTTTAATCTGATATTAATCAATGTCTATTGAAAAAAAGAAATATGAATATTATGCATAGTTGATAATTTAGCCTTCTTTGTTTCTCCATATTTTATATGCCATTTTGTGAGCCATGAAGTTCTCTATCGAACTGTATATAATAGTTGAGATTTTTTCTATGAAAACCGAGAGTAAGTCAATGTTTGCTATAACTTGATTACAATCGAATGACGCTTTGAATAGTTATTGTGTATAGAATAAGTATAATATTTTTTATTAATTTTATTCATAGCCTCAACCAAATCGATCAGTCAATCCAACGAACAGTAACAATCCTCTTCGACCATCATTGCTATCTCAACAACCATCACCTTCCTCGTCAGTTATTCTCATGCCAACAGTACCTCAAATATCAAATGTTCAAATTCAACCGTAAATTTTATTTCTATTATAAATATATTCTTCAATTCTTTTTGTAAAGATCGTCTAATGTAACTATTCAGCAAAGTTCATTAAATAATAATAATAATAATAATGTAAATGGTTCATTTGCATCAAGAATACAAGCAATGCAACAGCTACCATCATCAGTAACAATGAACAGCTCAACACCATTACAAAATAACTATTCATCACCTGTTGATCGTTCAGCACCATTATCAGGTTAATATATTTTCAATAAACATTAGAAAATCAAATTTTAAACCGAATTTATTTATTTTTCTTATTTCGAAAAAATACATTTATCTCGAGAGTGATAGAAATTATATAACCCACTATGTCTTTGTTTAGTTAGTTCAGTTTCAGTAATTTCAAACTAATTATCATATGATTATTTGAATTTGAGTATAATCATCTATCAGTTAAATAGTATCTTAATTGAAAGAAGCATTTGATTATTTTCACAGTCTGTTACATATCATAAGTGTCATGATGATCTTCTACTTGTCTAGACTAAATATCTAAATTAACTAAACAGATTCTTATTCTAAGACTTATATTGATAATACAATGAATTTGTTTGAATCGAGAGTAAATGAATAATATACTTTGTATATATCCTATTAAGAAAATAACAACTTATCTAGAATAAACATTTTTGACTTGTTTGCTTTTCTATTATAAATATTTTTTTTATTTTAATTATATAAAACGATATCGACATAAAAGAAAATATTGCAATAAACCAACTGTTTTCTCTATAATAAATATTTATAACGATGCTTTTTTTTGTACTTCATCAGACTGTTACATTCCCATTTTAGAAATAAAATAAATTATTCAAATTAAGCATGACATTAAACCAAAATGTAACATAGATAAATGTCTTAGCTTACTGAGAAAAGTTATACTAGACATTATTTGACGTATTTGGGTAATATTTTTTATAATATATATATATATTTAGGAAGTGGTAGTATTTCAAGTCCAGATGAAGAAACAATAAATTTAATAAAATATTTCAAAGAAAATCTCGGTAAATTACAATTATACTGTCAAAAATATACTAATGAAGGTAATTCAAATAAATAAAACAAGAATAGTTTCTACCTAGCATTTTTCTATCTTAAGGTAATCAGAATAAAGCTCGTAATCTTCAATTACTTTATGAACAAATGGTTCAATTTATTAATAATCCAACATATGAAAGTTTACCAAATGCAAAAAATCTTCGTGATTCACTTGAACGAGCATCTGTGAATATATATATATTTTTCTTTCATGTATATTTAATAACATAAAATAATTCTTAGAATCGATCACAACAACCAAATGCGGTACCAGTAAATGTACCTATACCAAATCCACCAACACAACAAATCAATGATATAAATCAATTTGAAAAATCATTAACCGAATTTCTATCACGTGATCAAAAGAAACGTCTTTTTTTCAGTAAACTATTTATTGAACCATTAAATAATGTTATTAATGGTATTCCACATAAGTTAGTTTATTAACCTCTTTATTTTTTGAAAAAAATCGTTTTTTCTTTTTTCTTCTTATAGAAAAGTTCGTCTTGATAATGATTATAATAATTCAAATCGAATAACCCAACAAATAATTCCATCAAATCAATCATCATTAATATCTCAACTTAATGATGAATTTAATTTATTACCATCTAATATTTTTTCTATAGAACTTTTACCGGTATCACATGTAGTCAAAACTATTCAATTAAATGATGAATATTTAAGTAGAAAAGGTTTAGTTTTGAGATGTAAATTATTAGAACCATTTATTCCAATTATACAACCATTACGAATAAAAATTTCAACACGTTATCCCGATGAACAACCGGAAATATTATCATTGACAAAAACAATGCCACCAAAACTTGAATTTACAGGTAAACAAGAAATTATTTGAGATTTTAACCTTTTTCTATCGTGTATGACTCAGGTATATGTTTTGATTATGAATAAACTATTGTGAGAATGAAGAGGATTCGAGCTCATCATCCCAACAGAACTTCAAATTTTCCTAAGGATATTCATCAGACAATTAAACTATAAAATTTTTTTCAGTGAGATATCTAATGATCTTTAGAAGATTATAACGATCATCAGATATTTCGTTTAGGAAAATTTCAAAGCAAGATGTTATAGTTTATTGATTCGATGAGTATCTACAAGTGGGTCTGAAATTTTATTAAATTGTCACAGCTCTTAACCAATAAATCATGTACCCGAATCTTATTAAGTGCTATTCATAGCCTCTAGCAAGCAATATTTAATAATAGGTTTATTTTCTTGTGTTAAAATTTCAATTATATCACTACATTAAAAAGAGATATTTCATTATTTAATGAGACTGTTGAGAGAAAAACTATGATTATATGAACTCTTAAAATTCGATATTAAATTTTATCAAAGATAACCTTGAATAAGATTATTCTCTTCAGAATTTATTACTTTTTATCTTTCTCTTTTTTTAGATGGGCATCCATATTTTGAACAAATCTCAATGTTATTTATTTCTTATCTTTTTAAACTACCTCCCCAACATACCGTGACTGATATTCTCAATATTTGGGTAAATATTTCAATATCTATAAATTCTGATTGAATTTAATATTGAATATGTTATTTTAGCGTCAATCCGTCCAAGCTGCTTTATAAAAGTCAATGATAAATGTGCACTTTCAATTGGTACTATATATACTTTGCTAAAGCTCAATTATAAGAATAAATAATTCATAAGCACATCTGTGAGAATATTTAATTATTATTATTATTATTTTCTGTCTGTTTTTGATTCTTTGGTTAAATGTTTATTTGTTTGTTTTTCTTGTTTTGTTCATATTGATCGTTATTATATGACAGTGATGCTCGTTTGACCAAGGATGGACACAATGTTGTGATGTATCTTTTCTTTCTTTTTCTCTTTTTTTCTTTTTATATGTTTTGTCTTTCATAATATAAAACAAGGAGTTTGATGATCTATGTATGTATATGGCAATATTTCTTTGACTTTTTGCGTCTTATTTTCTGTTGTTTTTTTTCGAAAGAATCTCTGAATTTATTTAACGTATATATCTTGCCATTAATGTTGATTTACACTTATGTATATTTGGTGTCTTTCTCATTTTGTTATGCTAGTGTTTTCTTTTATTATATACACAAAATAAGCATGCAAAAAAAAACGCGACAGTTAGAAATAAACGAAAAAAAAACGGGAAAAAATTTCTAAGATAAGCTTTTGTTTGTCTAACTAGTATACGGAATGTTGTTAAATAATAATAATAATAAAAAAAAACAGAGCAGAAAAAGTTATTGGCCTAAACATATATGTTTTTTATTCTTTTGCTTTTTTTTTTGTTCTAGAAATCTAAGATAAATGAAGTGAATTTAATTCATTGGTAGGTGGATTGGTAGTTTGTTCGTCTAGTGTTGTTGTTGTCGCTTCGGTTATTGCTTCAAGCGGTGCAGGTGGTATTGGTTCAAGCATTGTTTTAAGTAAATCAATGCGATCCATAATAGCTGTACATTTTTCACGTAAATAAACACGTGATTGATCAGTACCTTCAGTAAACATTAATTCTTCGAGAAGAAGATCAACACATATACGATAGAGATGTAATGCAGCTGGAAAATTTTTTTGTTCATCATATGTTTGTGCTAAAACAAAAAATGATTATTTTTCATAATGACGAAAATACATTTAGTGATTCTATTCACCTTCAGTTAACATTTGATGAGCAGCAGTAATTCTAATAAATTCATCATCTTCTCCTTCCCCCTGTTGTTCCTGTCCATCTTCTTCTTGTTCATTCTGAATAATTGCTAATTGATTATCCTGAGATTCTTTTTCAATAGCACCATTATTTTGATCATTATCAGTATTTTGTTGGACGGGTTGTTCTTCACCAGTAGGATTACTTAAAGAGACGGTTGGCGACATTGATGAATTATTTTCATAGGATGATATTGTCGTTGATTTGGTTGTCACCGTATCCGTCGAATTTTCATTGTCATTGTTAATCATTATCGATTGTAGTTGGATGAGAAATTCATCAATAAATAATCAAGTAGATGAAAGAAAGAACGAAAAATCTAGAATAAAGTTCATGATGTACATATATATGTCACACCGGGGACATTTGTTCAAATTTCTTCGTTTTTTTTTTCTTCTTCTTCTTCTTTCTTTCTCTTATTTTATGTTCGTACATAATTATATATTCACAGAAATAGTCTCTCGATATACTTTTTCTTCTTCTTTCGGTCGTAGTAATCGGTTTATTTATAGATTGACTGTATGACAGTACCAAACAATCTTTTCATAGAAGGAAAGAAAAGAAAATAAAAGCAAACAAATTACTGCTTGATATATATTTTTTTTTCTTCTTTTCTTCGATTCTTTTCTTTCTTCAGATATTAGTCAGTTACCGTAAATAAATATCAAATAAAAATGGTAGATGATGATGAAGCACCTTTGATATATGGTGTGGAATTTCAGGTAGAAGGAGAAAAAAATGTAATTTAAAAAACGAAACTCGTTTTCTATAGGCGAGAGCATTATGTGCGGTTAGTGGCGTTCCAGATGATGATACTGCTCGTTTTCTTGTCGGTACTCAATCAATTAAATTTGAAAATCAAGTAAAAAAGAAAAAGAATGAAAATTTTTGATTTTAATATTTAATTTTGTAGGTTCATTTTCTTGAATATGATGAAGAAGCGGGTCTATTAGGAAAATCAATCTATGCTCATCGAGCTGGAGAAATTTGGCGTATGGCATCATCACCAACTGATCATCGTCGTTTTGCAACAATTTATCAAACTAGTAAAACATTCATTTTTATCTAAAATAGAATATTAAAATAAGATTTTTTTTAAATCAAGTTCAAGATTCAAATATTGTTAGTAAATGTACAGTATGGCAAATTCCAATAGATTCTACAAATGAAGAACCAAGTTCGCCAACAATTGATGCATCATCTAATCAATTACATCAACCATTGCGAAAACGATTTGATTTAAATGTTCCTAATTCGAATATAATTGAGTAAATACAAAAGAAAATAAACAAAAACCTCTATCTCTCGTTTATGTTTTAGTGTTGAATGGGAAACAAATAGTGAACGAATAGCAACTATAAGTGAAACAAATATTTATATCTGGAATGTCGAACAACATGATACACCACAAATTTTATCAACTGGTTCAATTGATTCAAAGAGTAGTGCTATTCATAAATTATCTTGTTGTCGATGGAATCCACATATAAGTACAAATCAATTGGCAACTACTCTTGGACCTCATATACGTGGTTGGGATCTAAGATCAATGAAGTAGGAAAAAAAAAGATTCTTTTTACTTTGTGATAAAAGAAATATTTCTTATTCTTTTTTTCAAGACCTTCATTTTCAATTGATAATGCTCATCCTCCATATGTTCGTGATGTTGATTATAATCCTAATCGTCAATATCATTTAATGACATGTGGAGATGATTGTCGAGTAAAATTTTGGGATGTACGAAAGCCAAATGAATGTTTAAAAATATTAACTGATCATTCTCATTGGTTAGTCTATTTAATTTGATTTATCTAGAAAAATATTTAGTTCAACAGATAAATGAATAGATTTAATATGATCGAATCTTAATAAAAGAACATGTGATGATTTTTATCAACAGATAAAAATATATGATTGATGTTATTAAATATCTTATGCTACCTTGTCTGATGTTCTTTTCTTTAAGAGAAAAAATAGATTTAATTAAAATCTTAATTTATCTGGCTTTTTTTAAGGGTATGGTCAGCTCGATATAATCGTTTTCATGATCAACTGATTGTAACATCGAGTAGTGATACTCGTGTTATGCTATTTAATATTGCTAGTCTATCTTCAGAACCATACGGAAGTTTAAATGTATCTGATGATGCAAAGTAATTAATCTATGAATTAGAAAAAATAAATAATATATTATTATTTTTTGTTTTTCATTATCTAGAGAAGAAATAGAAGAAACAGTCAATGAAGATCGTCTTCTATGTGTATTTGATGAACATGAAGAATCTGTTTATACGGCTCAATGGGCATCAAATGATCCTTGGTTATTAGCATCTCTTAGTTATGATGGACGTCTTATACTTAATCGTGTACCAAAAAATGAAAAATTTCAAATACTTCTTCGTTGTCCAACATAAAATAAAACAAGAAGATTTTTAATATAGACAAACGCGTTTTTATTTTGAAAATGTTTTTGAATAACTAAAAGTTGCATGAGTTCATTATGGAGACATTAATGATTGTAAAAACGATGTTAAATTAGATTGTAATGATGATGGTGATGACGATGAGGATAACGGTGGCGGTAACGGTAAAAATGAATAAGCTGTACGACTTGCCGATTGTAATGATTCATTAGAAAATAAGTCATAAGCATATTTTGTATATTCATGTAATTCTGGTCGACATGCAAGATTCTTTAAAAAATAAAATAAATATTTATTCCAAATATATATATCATTATTTATCAAACAATCAATTAAAAATATCTAGGATTTTTTTCTAAGGAATTACACATTAGATTTACTCTCATTTGTTACTTATAGATTTTGAACATCTAATTTTTTTAACCAAGATATCTAAAGCATTGTCCTAGTCAATAATCTTATCGTATTCCAGGCAATCTATTTACAAGCGAGTACACTTCGATTTTGTTATGATACAAAATGGTATGACAACCTTACACGGAAGGATATTGTGTGGCTGTAACGCATAAATGAATAATTCAGATTATTTTTTTCTCCATATTCAATTGTAGACAAAACATACATTTATTTAGAAGATGTATGAAATCTTACCTGAAAATGTAACATAAGTTGATCATGATTACTTGATAATTTTGAATAGATATTATTACTTATTGGAACTATTTTAGCAAATGGTAATTGTGTGTCTGTGATAATGGTAGAATCAGTTCTAAAAAAAATAAATAATTAAATAAATATGATTTTAAAATATAAAAATTACAATCTATTTTCTGTTGTGTTTGTAGTTGACGATTTAACAATTTCTCTAGCAAATTCATCATAAATATTTGAAAAACTTTGATCAATGATTTGTATTAATACACGTTGAAATGTTTCACTAGAAAAAGAAAGAAAATTTATTTTATTTTGAAAAACAAATAATTCAAATAAACCTTTCAATCATTTCAACACATTCAATTTCAAATTGTTGTTGAACATTAAAAACGGATGGTGGTGAATGTGTACGTGTTGCAAATAATGAACTAGTCTACAAGTTTTCATTATTTATTTCTCTTTTTTTCATAAAATATATAAAAATTACTGTTGAAATAACATTTGAAAGTGAATATGCTGATGTTGTTGTTGTTGCTGGCTGTGTTGTTCGTGATGGAAATGAAATTGATCGAACATATTTAAGTAATGGATGATGATTATTAGTTGATTGATAACGTTTTTTCTCAATTTGATGACGAATTTCACTACAATACCAGATTATATCATTTATATCAAGCATTTGTGCAAGTGGAATGCTATTTTATCAACAGAAATATTATTTAATATTGATAGAAGAAAGAATTTACCGTGCAAGAATTGTTTGAGTAGCTTTTCGAATATCATCAATTAAACAATTCATACCTATAGAAAAAAATACATTTAAAACAAAGTATTTTAAAATGAAATATTAACCTGCTTCTGTTGTATAACGAATAACATCGAGACAAGCTAATTGAATATCTCGTGAAAGTAATGAATTTTGATTTTGATTTGACTATTTACAAAAAAAAAGAAATAGAAATAGAAGATTTTTTGTTTTTTATGTAAATTTTACTTCAGCATGCGAGGATTTACTTGTTGCTGATACACCACCAGCTGTTGTTGATGGGAATGATGATGAATGTTGTATTTGGGATTGTGAATAAAGTCGACCACTTAATGCGCTAACTACTAATTCAGTTAATGCCAGAACAAAACTTGAACTATATGCAAATGTAAACAAACGGGCGAAACCTATAGATATATAAAAAAAATCAAAATATTAATATAACCATTTAAAGCATACGAAATTTCTATAAATAATTAATGCACTGTTTAACGTTAAGATCTTTTAGAAAGCACTTAAAATCAATTCAATAGTTCAATCTATACATTCGTTAAACTTACATTCTACTCTTAATTGTTCCCATAATTCACGTTTTTGATTTGAACTAGAAGAAAAAAAAGAATTAAAGAAAGAATTGCTATTTCTACAAACTTACTCAGATACTGTTGATAATTTCGCAAGAATACTTTCACATTGAAATGAACGATTTATATTAAGTACAACTTGTGCAAATATATCCGTACCTAAAGAAACTTCAAAACATACAAAATTTTCAAAATCAATATAATTACATACTTGTTCTTAGACTTGTATCACGATTATGTTCATAGTAAAGTTGTTTTTTCCATTCTGTTAACATTTTATCTTGTTCATTAAGCATTGTTGATAGCTTTCCATTTATATAACGAAAAGCGACATAACCACCTAGTTATGAATAGTATATGCTTTTGTTTATTGAAATTTAATCAATTTACCTCCAGCAAGTAATGAAAGAATATAAAGTTTACGACGATGTCGCTTAATAATTTGCCAAATCATATTAAATGAAATCTAAAAAACAAAAGCGACACTCTCTTCTTTTTCTTTTCTATATTTAAATGATTACTATCTTTATTCTCCCTTCACCCCCCTATTCAAAGCAAAGAAATGATAACAATAATAACAACAAAAAAACAAAAAATTCACGTCATGATTTCTCCATAAACAGAAAAACGCTGTTCATAAGTAAGTGCTGAACATGTTAATAAACTATAATTTCTCTTTATTGCTCCAGATAAGTTTTCATTATCTTGATTTATCAATGAATTTCTTAACCATTTCATTTGTTCTTTTGTCTAAAATATAAAATAAATAAATAGATAAAACAAAACTAATTGGTTTTAGTTTTTTACTAATAAATTTTCTTCAGTTTTCTTGGAAGATTTTTCATTTATTATTGATGATGTACAACAATCAAGTGAACCAATATCAATTGGATGTGCTTCTGTATTATAAACATAACCCGTATCAAGAAAACATGAACCTAATGGTGTTTCATGTTCTGTTGCATATTCACCATTGGAATGTAGAAAATTATCTTCATCAAATATTAAATAAAGATATTTGATTGTTTCAGCAAGAAAAAATGATTCCATACGATTATCAAGACGATGATCTTTAACATTTTTTAACTAAAAAAAAA